CCCCACACACACACACACACAAGCGTGCATTCTCTCTCTCTCTCCCTGTGTGTGTGTCTGCGTCTTTGGTTCAGATCTTCTTCATAAGTGCGGGTGTGGCGCTGAAGGCGGCCACTCTGCACATAGCGTTGACCGACTACGAGTTCATCGGCGTGCTGCTCATCCTGACGGCGTCGATTTTGATGGGCCTGACGTTTGTGCTCAACGAGAAGTTCATGAAGGACGACAACCCCATCCCGGGGCCAAACCTCGTCTGCATGATGGGGTCAGTCAGTGAGCCGACTTGGACACACACACACACACACACGCACACACAGAGAGAGAGAGAGAGATGCATCCACACCTTCTTGCAACGACCGAGCGGCAGCAAGTACCCTTCCCTCTCTCTCTCTCTCTCTCTGTATGTGTCTGGTCTGTAGGGTGTGTTGCTCTGCGGTGTTGACTGCGTGGACGTTCGGGTGGACGGTGCCGCAGTTCGACACACTCGTCATCGACAACATCAAAAGAAAAAACGGATCGGTCATGGTACTGCAATCGTGCCTGCCACACCATACACACCGTCCCTTCACACATTCTCACATTCTCATCATGCGTGTGAGTGTCCTTCCCCTTGTGTGCCCTCACTCAGCAAATCTTGGTGTGTTTTGCGGCGCTGCTGGCTGCGTCGTGGATACACGCGGGGACCCTCTGGTACCTCGTCAAACACATGGGCGCCGTCTCCTCGGGCGTGCTCAAGGTGCGCAGACAGGCGCACACACATGCACAGACAGATTTCCTTCCCGCCCTTCGCACACACACCAATGGATGGGGTGATGGGGTGTCTGTGTCTGTGGGTTTAAGGGTTTGAAAGTGGCGTGTGTGTTTCTGCTAAGCCACCTGTTCTTCTGCGAGAGGGACCCGCACCAATGCCTCAACCTCTGGACGGGCTCCTCTGCATTCGTCGTAAGTGCGTCTGCACACCCACACCCACACACCCACCACCGCACACGGAGCTGGAGCTGCATCTCATCTGTGTGTGTGTGCATCTACCTTACCTGTCAGTGTGTGTGTGGCGTGGTGCTGTACTCCTACACGACTTCTCAGCTGAAGCACAAGCACCAGCAGCAGATCGAGGCGTCGAAGCCGCTCATGCGCTCACAGACATCTACCGACTCCATCACTAGGGTACCTAGCCCTCCCCCCCCCAACACACACACACCCACAAAGAGAGAGGGAGAGAGAGAGACTGGCCAGCCATGTGTGTGTGTGTGTGTGTGTGCATCAGAACATGAGAATGGAGGAGCGTGACATGGTCAACATGCAGTCGTCGATGATCATCACGGACGTCCCCGAGCCAGAACCACAACACCCCGCCGTCTCGGGCAGCTCAAACGCCCAACCAAACTGACCCACCACCCCCTACCCCACCCCACCCCCAATGTGTGTGTGTGTGCTCGCGCGTTAATGCATACCTGCATCGATGAGTGAGCCTGCGAGCTTGTGTCTCACTATACCTGTAGCATGGTGTGGGCCAGTTAAACCAGTTCTATTGATTGGTTGACTTTTCTCCCGTCAAAGATGCTTTTCTTTTCTCTCTCTTCCCTCCGTCTGTCTGTTCGTCGGCTTGGCGTGTCTGTGGGGGCGGGGCGGGCGGTTTGTGTCTGTCTGTTCGTGTGTGTCGTTCTGCATTCATTCCTTGTGGTCTGTGGAAAGGAAGTAATGGTGCGTGGGGTGGGTGGGGGCGGGCCGTGTCTGCCGCTGTGTGTATAGCCGCGCGTTTCTTTCGAGCAGGCAGGCAGGCAGGCAGACAGACAGGCGGGGAGGCACAAGATGACGGCCGTCTGCTGCTCAGAAGGTGGGTGACCTGCTACTTCACGGCCCGTTGGGTAGCAGGGGCCCGCCGAAGCAGCACCGGCTGTCGTACGGAGGGCGGCCTCGAGAGAGACGATTTTTTCACCCACCCCACCCGCGGCTTTCCTCCCTTCAACCATCCCCCCACCCCCAGGCCGACACTCACACACGCACTCAGACAGTGTGGTTTGCATCAGAGTTTCAAGCAAGCAGCCGCGGCGTTAGGATTGCCTGTGCATGTATATGTGTTTGAGCTTCAGACGGTTTTCGGAGCATTGGGTGGGTGTCTCGACGATCCGATCGCAGGCATTTTAAAGGGCTGCATTCAATGAGCAATGAGCATTATATATTAATGAGGTATTAGCTGCAGAATGAAAGTCACTCATACACACTCAGACACAGACACACACAGACACACAAGGGGACGCCAGGGTCCGTCAAGGGGTTGCCGTCGCGCGCACACATACACACACCTGCATCCGATGCGGTATGACAAAGACTGAAAAAAGCCGTAATTCCTTCCATGTAACACACCACACCCACACCGCCGGGTAGGGTGCTGGCTGCCTTTCAAAGCGACACGCACATCCATCCATCCATCCATTCATCCATCGCCAGGGAGTGATGTGGGCTAAGCGAGAAAAATACTCACATGCATCCCAAGTGTGTG